ATTCAGACAACGAAGGACTTACATGACGAATTCGACTTCACAGTCAATATTGCTGCTGGCAAGACCTATTGGCGGATGGAAAGCGGCTGGATCAACAGACCACATGGTACAGGAGGGAGAATTTCGCGGGACCGCCGTGAACGTCAAGCGCCACTCCGAACCTGCCACAGACTTCCCGCTCCTCGCGATCGTCCGTGGTCGCAACCGCTGCTTGCCGGCCAGCGTATGCAGAGAAAGCCACTGCTGACTTGGCTGCGCTCATGTGTGTGTCCGGGCGAAGACAATATTCGTACAGGGCTCACGATTGCTTTCTTTCCCCAGAGTCACGTCCTCTTTGGACCGTTGTCGGGTAGACTTCCACGGACCCGATCGTACCTGCCCACCCCCCTCCACAGGCATTCGCTACGTCAGCACCGTAATTACAGTCGTTCGTATTCCTTCCGATGGCGCTGCCGCTGCCGCAACCACGCTGTTCCCTCCCTCTAGCCTTCCCTGAACCCCTAATGCCCCATGCTCCTTCTCGCTGATTCCCAAAACGATGGAATCCTATCCAGAAGCGGTAGTACCCAAGTCCTGTCGTGATTTCCCCCTCAAGTTGGGCACATAGGGAGGCAATAAACAAAACAGTCCTCGGGAGATGTCCTAGTCCAAAGTTCTGTCCTCCGTCTCATCGACAGGTGTTCCTTTATTTGGATTTTTCTGAGAAAGGGCAGCACTCGCTCCAAGAAGGGGCAATCCTGTGCAGATTGGCGGCCGTTGCTTCACATCCTCTGTTTTGCTGTGACCCCATTCTCGCTCATTCCAAAGCGCTTTCCCCGATCCCAAATCACGTCCATTCGGCGTCGTATGTGGTGGGGTCGTTTGGTCATTGATCCTGCCCCTAAAGTCGCTGCCTGGAGCTGCCGAGCCGCCTCCGCCCGACACTCCGGTGCTTCTAGCTCGTATTCGTGCTGCACGCTTTGAGCTTAGGTCGACGCTTTCCCTCACGGGTACTGCCCCATTGGCAAAGCCCAACAACACAACCCACACCACCTGGGATTTCCAAGGGCACCCAGAAAGGCCATCATCCCCTGGCCTGGAAAGCGAGAAAGCTCCTCATCCCCACCTGGTTTAGTTAGATTCCAGCCGTCAAGCACCACCACCAACACCAGCATCAGAACCCACTGCTTAGCTATCCACTTGACTCGAACGGCGGCCAGCAGTAGCCGGTCCGGCGCCTCTTCCACCTTACACCAAGGCTAAGGGCTCCAGTTCTGGGACCATCATTACCACGGCCCAAAGACGAGAGCGGAACTGTTTGCCCATCTGTTCATCACTCCATCATCGATCGACAAGGAGGGACAACACGAACCGACGCGCAACTCCGCCCATCCGGGTCCAGGGTGGCCATTGTGCTCGTACGTAGCCCCGTCTTGGCGACCTTACCTAGCCGCACACGAACAGGTCAGCGCCCAGCGAAAACGCAGAGTCAGTAAGCTGGGGGCCTGCATAGCGACCGTTCCCACCTGTCGCCGCCAGCTCCATTAGACACACCCCGGCCAACACGGCCGCGCCGGCGCTGCGAGTTGGTCATTCTTTTCTGGTTTCTAGCTTGGGGTGCCACCACACCCCCGGATTCTAATAACACCTCATGCGTCGTTCGTCGTGTTCCTGTTCGGCCGTTCGTTCGTTCTTCTTGATCTTCGATCTCTCACCTCCATCCCCCTCCTAACACGCCTCGCCGCCACGGTCTCTTTTCCTCCCCCCTCTCCCCCCTTCTCCTTCCCTCAACGTAGTCTCTCGTTTCTCTATGCAGTTGTAATATCGTCGTCGCCGAGGGCCTCGCTCGACAACAATCCCTCTTAATTTATCGGCCCTACTGCACCCTCCTGCAGACATCTCCCTCTCTGTCTGTCTTACACACAAACACCTGCGCACTCCTCACATCCAGACATCATGACGGCATTGCGGGGCAGACCAATTGGCCAACTTGGCCGGGTCTTCACAATCGTTCTATTCGCCCTCACCCGCGTCTCATCCGCTTATGACCTGATCCTGATTCCGAAGGTGAGTGTTAACCACTACCGTCGTCATTGCTTTGTCGTCGTCTGCTGACAATGGGATAGATTCCGTCAAGACATTGCGCGGTCAATTAGCAGAGGACACGATGGAAGATCTATCGTGCGATGAGCCCGGACAGACACAAGGCTTGCTGCCGACCCGCGTACTACTGTAGGTGCCGCGACTGTGCATGTCTCCTTGGTCACAATTCTAACAGCGTTTTTCTTGTTTGCAGGGTGGGAGGCCGGTGCGCTCATGGGCACCATGATTGACTACTGGTACTACACGGGTGACGACACATGGAACGATAAGGTGGTGCAGGCACTCATGCATCAGGTCGGAGAGTTCAACGACTACATGCCCGACAACCAGACACTCACTGAAGGAAACGACGACCAAGGCTTCTGGGGACTCGCCGTCATGTCCGCCGCCGAACAGCGGTTTCCCGACCCTCCCGAGGACCAGCCTGGCTACCTCGGCCTCGCCCAGGCCGTCTTCAACACCCAGGCCGCGCGCTGGGACCCGGGCCACTGTGGCGGTGGCCTAAGATGGCAAATCTTCAACTGGAACAAGGGATTCGACTACAAAAACACCATTTCGCAGGGCTGTTTCTTTGCGCTCGCCGCTCGCCTTGCTCTTTACACCGGCAACTCATCTTATGCTGATTGGGCCGAGCGAACGTGGGATTGGACCAAGGCCGTGGGCTTTATCGACGACAACTACTCCGTGTTCGACGGTGCTCACATTCCGACCAATTGTACCAACATTGTGCCGTACCAGTGGTCCTACAACGTCGGCGTTTTCATCAATGGCGCCTCTGCTATGTACAACTTCACCGGCTCAGACGAATGGAAGGAAAGGCTCGACAGTCTCGTCAACGCCACGGATGTCTTTTTCGTCGGCGACAATCGCGACATCAT